GCTGTGGCTGCCCCTGGATCCCTGGAAGTGTCCAAGGCCAGGCTGGATGGGGTTTGGAGCACCCTGGGATAGGGGAAGGTGTCCCCACCTATGGCAGATCAATGTAAGGTCCCTTCCAAACCAAACCATTCCACGATTCTGTGATTTTATTGTCTTCAGGATCAGCGCATGGCCTGACATCCTTCTCTCTTCAAACTGGGAAAGAAATCCCACCAAGGGCAGGAGCTGGCAGGGCTGGGAGCCAAAGCTGGCCCCAAACAGCACACGGGGGTGCATCGGGAATTCGATGGTGACTAAAACACCCCCAGCCCTAATCCCAGCCTGGGGCTCTGCACTGACCTCAGCCTCTGCTCCTCCCTCACCTGCAGGGAGGTTAAAGCACCTGGGAGAGGGCTGAACGGGCTCTCACCTCTTCCCCGAGCCGGCATTAACCCTCTGGGGTCTGGAAATGCAGCACGGAGCGGGGAGATCAGCGCTGGAGCTCCCATTCCTCATCCCCGGTGCTTCAGCTCAGTGGAATCCTCAGCTGCAAGAGGCCGATCACACCTTGTGGGTGTYGCTCACACCCCACACCAGCAGCAGGTTAAATTCACGGAAAATGTAGGAAACCATCACCTCCTGCAATTTCATCCCGGAACTATTTACCTAATGAGGCCCAAACCAGCACCAGTAATTAGTGAAAGAAGTTTTTTTGTTTTTTGTTTTTTGGTTTTTTTTTTATCAGCAGCCGTGCGAGACTCAGGAATGGCTCCCAGCCCAACCCAACCGCGGACCCGCCCAAAGGCCAGACGGCCGCTTCCAATAAATCACTCATCGCGTCCTCGGCTGCGATTTGGCAATAAAAAAACCCCAAACATCCCTGGCATCGCTGCTCCCAGACCTGCCTGCTCTTCACTTCGCCCCTCTCTGCTCGAGAAATGCTCGGTGCTTTGAGTGGTCTGTTCTCGTAAAAGGGTGGAACAAAGCAGAGCCCGAAATCTGCGGAGTTTTGTGTTTGCTGGAAGCGTGCCCGGCGTCCATGAGTGCAGATTAAATCTAGGAAGTCTTTCTTCAAATTCAAAGAGCTACTGGTAAAATTAATTATTTAATATTTAAATTTTAGCTGTTGCTAAACTGTTTTTTTTTTGGGTTTTTTTTTTGTTTTTTTGTTTTTGTTTTTTTTTTAAGGGGAGTGGGATTACACCCATAGGAGAAGAATTGAAAAACCTTCTGCCAGAGTTTTTTTCCATCCTTTTATTAAAAACTTCCAAAGGTCTAAAATGAAAATGTACACCGACTACAAGGGAACCGAATTTGTACACTCACAGTTAAAGTGCTAAAAATTAAACGTTACCGACAATGGACTACTGTAAACAAGACTAGCGAGAGCCGGGTGTGGGCAGAGGGGGTTTGGGGACACGGGAGCTGCACTGACCCAGGGGTGGATTTGACCCGAAAAGTTGGATTTGACCCAACACGGACACGGGGAAGGGGCTGGGAGAGGTGGCAGAGCACTGCGGGTTCTCCATGCGTGGATCTGATGGGTGAAACTCTGGAAAAAGCCGGGTGTTGGGGATCCTGATCCTGGAAAATACTGCACCTTGGGGGAAAAGCAATCCCGATCCTGGAAAATGCCCGGTGCTGGGGGGAAATTGATCCTGATCCTGGAAAATGCCCGGTGTTTGGGGAAAATTGATCCTGATCCTGGAAAATGCTGCACCTTGGGGAAAAACAATCCTGATCCTGGAAAATGCTGTGCCTTGGGGGAAAAATCAACCCCAATCTGGGAAAATGCTGAACCTTGGAAAAAAGTCAACCCTGATCCCGGAAAATGCCCAACCTCGGTGGGGAAATCAATCCTGATCTTGGAAAATGCCATGCCTTGGGGGGAAAACAACCCCGATCTTGGAAAATGCTGTGCCTTGGGGGGAAAATCAACCCTTATCCTGGAAAACGCCCGGTGTCAGGGGAAAATTGATCCTGATCCTGGAAAACACCCAACCTTGGGGGGCGAAAACAACCCTGATCCTGGAAAATGCYGTGCATCAGGGGGAAAAAATCAACCCTGATCCCGGAAAATGCCCAACCTCGGGGGAAAATCAACCCTGATCCCGGAAAATGCCATGCTTCGGGGGAAAACAAGTCCTGACCCTGGAAAATGGCGTACCTCGGGGGAAAAACAAGCCCAATCCTGGAAAATGCCCACCTTAGGAGAAAAGCAACCCTGATCCTGGAAAACACCCAACCTCAAGGGGAAAGTCAATCTTGATCCTGGAAAATGCCGCGCCTTGGGGGAACAGCAACCCCAATCCTGGAAAATGCCCTGCCATGGGGGAAAATCAACCCTGATCCTGGAAAGCACCCAACCTCCGGGGGAAAAATCAACTCTGATCCCAGAAAATGCTGCACCTTGGGGGAAAACCAATCCTGATCTTGGAAAACACCCAACCTCAGGGGGAAAACAATCCCGATCCTGGAAAATGCCGTGCATCAGGGGGAAAATCAGTCCTGATCCTAGATAACACCCCGCCTTGGGGGAAAAATCAACCCTGATCCCAGAAACCGCCGTGTCTCAGGAGAAAATCAACCCTGATCTGGTTAGGAAAGAAGCGCGAAGGATAAGGGGTGAAGTTTCACATTAAATTGGACTTTCTGCTGCTCAGGGTGGAGATCGGGGTGTGCCCTGTGCGGGGCTGCGCTGCTCTGTGTCTGGATTTCATCACACGTGGATCTGCTCGCTCCTCGCTGATTTTTGGGATCCTCGACACCCCTGTAGGGTGGGCACTGCTCCGAGGCTGCTCTCCTCCTTGTGCCCTTTCAGAGGGATTTTCCCCTTCYCTCCTTGCTGGAGAGCGCCGCTGGATTTGGCCGTGGCCGGATTTTGGCCGGAGCCTCCCCATGTTCACCGCTGACCCCTCAGAGCTGCTGCCCGGATCCTCCAGAGCAAAATTGGGGTCAAAGCTGGAAGGGACAGGAGAACACGAACACATTGAYCCCTAAATGTGCCTTTTGCTGGGATGTTGATGCTGTGAAGAGGAGGAGCCTCTTCCATGCAACGCGACCGCAGCTCGGGTTTGGGATATTCCAATGAACCCTGGGAGCTGTGACAGGATTGAGATCGAAGGAACATTCACAGATTCAAGGGGATCTGCTGTCAGCACTGCCAGGGTGGTAAAACAGGAGCTGCAGCTCGCTGGGAATACCGGGAACGAGAAGCTGCGGGTTTTATGGGGCGTTTTGGGGCTGTGGCTGCCGCGTGTGCAGCATGGAGGGGCAGGAAACCGCCCTTGGGATCAGCAGGAATTGTGCAGGAATTCCCTGGCGGATTCCTGGACGGAGGAGCCGCCCTTTGGTGGCCGCTGGGGAGGGAGAAAACACCGCCAGAACTGCCCGAGGAGCGAGTGAGCAGCTGCGGGGACAGCACGGAGCATCGGGCACACGGAGCATGGCGGGGACATGGCGGGGACATCGCGGAGCTCCGAGCACATGGAGCATCGTGGGGACCGTGGGAGGCCCGGGCACACGGAGCATCGCGGGGACATGGCGGGGACAGCATGAATCCCCGAGCACACGGAGCACTGAGGGGACATTGCGGGGACATCGCGGAGCTCCGAGCACATGCAGCATTGCAGTGACACTGCAGGTGCATCGTGGAGCCCCGAGCACACGGAGCACTGCGGGGACAGCACGGAGCTCCGAGCACACAGAGCATTGCAGGGACCGCACGGAGCTCCGAGCACACGGAGCACTGCGGGGACAGCACGGAGCTCCGAGCACACGGAGCACTGCGGGGACAGCACAGAGCTCCGAGAACACGGAGCACCTCGGGGACAGCACGGAGCTCCGAGCACACAGAGCATTGCAGGGACCACAAGGAGCTCTGAGCACATGGAGCATTGTGGTGACACTGCAGGTGCATCGCGGAGCCCCGGGCACGCGGAGCACTATGGGGACCACACGGAGCTCCGAGCACACGGAGCATTGCAGGGACCGCATGGAGCTCCGAGCACACGGAGCACTGAGGGGACAGCACGGAGCTCCGAGCACACGGAGCACTGCGGGGACAACGCAGAGCTCCGAGCACACGGAGCACTGCGGGGACAACGCGGAGCTCCGAGCACACGGAGCACTGCGGGGACAACGCGGAGCTCCGAGCACATGGAGCACTGCGGGGACAGCACAGAGCTCCGAGCACGCAGAGCATCGTGGGGACATCGCGGAGCTCCGAGCACACGGAGCACTGCGGGGACAGCAGAGAGCTCCGAGCACACGGAGCACCCGTGCTCCCATCCCCGTCCATCCCAGCGAATGTTTCAGGGGATCCCCAGCACCATCCTCAGCCCCAGCGAATATTTCAGGGCATCCACAGCACCATCCTCAGCTCCCGCCCCTGTCCATCCCATTTCCCAAAATGCCCAAACTGGGAATTCTCCACCCGAATCTGAACACAGCCTGCGGCAGAGGTGGGTCCGTCACCGAGCCCCCCGGTTGGGAAGGAGCCGCAGCCTCCCGTGGATCCTGTCCCTCCTTCCCACATCCCGCTTCTTCCCCGTCCGGGGGCAGCTCCTGCCTCAGTTTCCCCCACCCATCTCCGAATTCTTGCTCAGCACCAAAAATCCTTCCCAAATCAGCCACAGCATCGCCAGGAAGGTGGGGCATCCTCGAATAAATTCCTCTTTTGGCCTCAGCCTTCTTCACTCGGTTTGTAAACAGACTCTGCTCCGGCTGGGAGGAACGGGCTCTGCATCTCTGCCTGGCTGACAAATTCTGCTTTTCTCTTATATTTTTTAAATAAATCAGGAACGGGCAATCTCGCTTTTGTACGTGACTCTAAAAAATAAATGGCTGGATATTACCTAGGTAACCGGTCTGAAAACCCCATCTCTTCCTACGGAAATTGTAAACCAGTAGAAAAATTTAAATAGTCTTTCGTAAAAAAAGCAAGGACAGTACAAGTTATTAAAAAAAATCACTCTTCCCCGCCTCTCTCTTGCCCCCAACCTCCCGACAAGTGAGCTCTGGGAAGAGCTGGCGATCCTCAGAGGAGTTTCCTTCTCCAAAACGCTCATTGCTGTGGCGTTTCCAGCGGGAGCAAATGCTGCCCCTCGAGGGAGGTGCACGGAGGGGGTGATTCCTTCAACCATCACGAGTTCCCTCGAGTCTCATCAGAACAACCCCAGCACCACCCCAAGCCCACGGGAGGAGGGAGACAGAGAGAAGGGGGAGCTTCTTTTCCACAGAGAGTAAGAAATTCAGCAGTTGTGTGTGTGTGACGAGGAACAGTTATCAAATAAATAAGCACCTCCGCAGAGGCTCAGAGGAGACAACCAGCTTGTGACTGAGCTGAGCTCTGAGGAAAGTTCCAGAATGACCGCACGGAGAAGCCGCGAAGCCACGATTGAGCACCTGGCGAGAGGATGAGAATGAGGATGAGGATAATACTGAGCGCGTCAGCTCGCCGAGGAAGGAGCTGCAATGCCCCGCTCAGGCGCTGGTGCCGTCCTCCTCGATGACGCGGTTCATGCTGGTGCCGTGCGTGATGTGTGTCATTGGGTTGCTGCTGAGGTCCCTGACGCTGCTGTGCCGCGACTGCTCGTTGAGCCGGTGGCAGCTGCTGTGCCGAGAGTGGTCGGTCAGCCGCGACATGCTGCCGTGAGGTAGGCGATCCTCCACGCCGCGGAAGCTGCAGGGCGTGTACCTGAGAGGGGAGAGCGGGATGGTTATTGGGTGGGATGGATGGGGATGGGGATGGATCAGTGCAGGGCGTGTACCTGAGAGGGGAGAGCGGGATGGTTATTGGGTGGGATGGATGGGGATGGGGATGGGGATGGGTTGGTGCGGGGATGTACCTGAGCAGGGAGAACAGGATGGTTATTGGGTGGGATGGATCGGTGCGGGGAGAACGGGGCCGTTATTGGGTGGGATCGATGGGGATGGATCGGTGCAGGGCTGTACCTGAGCGGGAGAATGGGTGGTTATTGGGTGGGGATTGACCGGTGCAAGGCTGTGCCTGAGCAGAGAGAGCAGGGCGGTTATTGGGTGGGATGGATGGGGATGGATCGGTGCAGGGAGAACGGGGCAGTTATTGGGTGGTGAAGGGTGGGGATGGATCGGTGCGGGGAGAACGGGGCGGTTATTGGGTGGGATGGATCGGTGCGGGGAGAACGGGGCGGTTATTGGGTGGGATGGATGGGGATGGATCGGTGCGGGGCTGTGCTTGATCGGGGAGAACGGGACAGTGATTGGGTGGGATGGATGGGGATGGGGCTGTACCTGAGAGAATGGGGCGGTTATTGGGTGGGATTGATGGGGATGGATCGGTGGGGGATGTGCCTGAGAGGGGAGAATGGGACGGTTATTGGTTGGGATGGATGGGGATGGATTGGTCCGGGGATGTACCTGAGCGGGGAAAAAGGATGGGGATCGATCGGTGCAGGGCTGTGCCTGATCGGGAAGAACGGGGCAGTTTTTCCCCGGGATTGATGGATGGAATTTCCCCGGGGATGGGGATGGATCAGGGTGCTCTCTGAGGAGAGGGGTTCCCCGCTCAGCTCAGCTCGGACAGCCCCGGGGGAAGCGTTTCAGCTCTGGACACAGCGGCTCGGACTCGGCTCTGGCTCCAGAGATAACCTGGGATTGATGATGAGGGCAGGGAAACGCTTGGTATTGATAATTAGGGGAGTGAAATGCCTGGTATTGATAATTGGGTGAGTAAATCCCCAATTATCAATAGTGAATGATAACGGTGGAAGTGAAATGCGTATTGATAATTGGGCGAGTGAATCCCCTGGTATTGATAACTGGAAGAGTGAAATGCGTATTGATGATTGGGTGAATGAATCGCTTGGTATTGATAATTAGGGAAGTGAAACGCCTGGTATTGATAACTGGGGGAGTGAAATGCCTGGTATTCGGAATTAGGGCAGGAAAATGCCTGGTATTGCTATTTTTTGGAGTGAAATGTGTATTGATAACTGGGTGAGTGAATCCCCTGGTATTGATAATGAGGGAAGTGAAACACCTGGTATTGATAACTGGGGGATGGAAACACCTGGTATTGGTAATTAAGGGAGTGAAATTCATATTGATAACTGGGTGAGTGAATCCCCTGGTATTGATAATGAGGGCGGGGAAATGTTTGGTATTGATAATTAGGGGAGTGGAACACCTGGTATTGATAATTAATGGAGTAAAACGTCTGGTATTGATAATGATGNCGGGATGGTTATTGGGTGGGATGGATGGGGATGGGGATGGATCAGTGCAGGGCGTGTACCTGAGAGGGGAGAGCGGGATGGTTATTGGGTGGGATGGATGGGGATTGATCAGTGCAGGGATGTACCTGAGCGGGGAGAACGGGGCAGTTATTGGGTGGGATCGATGGGGATGGATCGGTGCAGGGCTGTGCCTGATCTGGGAGAATGGGGTGGTTATTGGGTGGGATGGATCGGTGCAGGGAGAACGGTGCGGTTATTGGGTGGGATTGATCGGTGCAGGGAGAACGGTGCGGTTATTGGGTGGGATTGATCGGTGCGGGGAGAACGGTGCGGTTATTGGGTGGGATTGATCGGTGCGGGGCTGTACCTGAGCAGGGAGAACGGGGCGGTTATTGGGTGGGATGGATGGGGATGGGGATGGGGATGGATCGGTGTGGGGATGTACCTGAGAGGGGAGAATGGGGCGGTTATTGGGTGGGATTGATGGGGATGGGGATGTACCTGAGCGGGGAGAGCAGGATGGTTATTGGGTGGGATGAATTGGTGCGGGGCTGTACCTGAGCAGGGAGAACGGAGCGGTTATTGGGTGGGATGGATGGGGATGGATCAGTGCAGGGCTGTGCCTGATCAGGGAGAACGGGGCGGTTATTGGGTGGGATGGATGGGGATGGATCGGTGCGGGGAGAACAGGGCAGTTATTGTGTGGGATTGATCGGTGTGGGGCTGTACCTGAGTGGGAGAACGGGGCAGTTATTGGGTGGGATTGATCGGTATAGGGCTGTGCCTGAGCGGGGAGAAGGATGGGGAGGGATCAGTGCAGGGCGTGTACCTGAGAGGGAAGAGCAGGGCAGTTATTGGGTGGGATGGATGGGGATGGGGATGGATCAGTGCGGGGCTGTGCCTGATCAGGAAGAATGGGGCGATTATTGGGTGGGATTGATTGGTGCGGGGAGAACGGGGCGGTTATTCGGTGGGATGGATGGGGATGGGGATGGGGATGTACCTGAGCGGGGAGAGCAGGATGGTTATTGGGTGGGATGGATTGGTGCGGGGCTGTACCTGAGCGGGAAGAACGGGGCGGTTATTGGGTGGGATGGATCGGTGCGGGGCTGTACCTGAGTGGGGAGAATGGGGTGATTTTTGCCCAGAGAAGGGGATGGGGATGGATTGGTGAGGGGCTGTGCCTGATCAGGAAGAACAGGGCGGTTATTGCCCGGGATGGATGGGGATGGGGATGGATTGGGGATGGGGGATGGGGATGGATTGGGGATGGGGATGGGGATGGATCGGGGTGCTCTGTGAGGAGAGGGGTTCCCCGCTCAGCTCAGCTCAGCTCAGCTCAGCTCAGCTCAGCTCGGTCAGCCCCGGGGGAAGCGTTTCAGCTCTGGACACAGCGGCTCGGACTCGGCTCTGGCTCCAGAGATAACCTGGGATTGATGATGAGGGCAGGGGAACACCTGGTATTGATAACTGAAGGAGTGAAACGATTGGTATTGGTAATTAGGGGAGTGAAACGCTTAGTATTGGTAATTAGGGGAGTGAAATGCCTGGTATTGATAATTAGGGGAGTGAAACGCCTGTATTGGTAATTAGGACAGGAAAACGCCTGGTATTGCTATTTTTTGGAGTGAAATGCATATTTCATGATGATGAAATGATGAAATGATGAAATGATGAATGATGAAATGCTTAATTCATTTCATCATTCACTCAACTGGGTGAGTGAGTCCCCTGTTATTGATAATTAGGGAAGTGAATCGCCTGGTATTGATGACTGGGGGAGTGAAATGCCTGGTATTGGGAATAAGGGCAGGAAAACGCCTGGTATTGATAATTTTTGGAGTGAAATGTGTATTGATAACTGGGGTGAGTGAATCCCCATGTATTGATAATTAGGGGAGTGAAATTCATATTGATAACTGGGTGAGTGAATCCCCTGGTATTGATAATGAGGGCAGGGAAATGTTTGATATTGATAATTATTGGATAGAAATGCCTGGTATTGGTAATTAGGGGAGTGGAACACCTGGTATCGATAATTAATGAAGTAAAACGTCTGGTATCGATAATTAGGGCAGTGATGGTATCGATAATTAGTTCAGTGAAAAGGGTATTGATAACTAGGGCAGTGAAACACCTGGTATTGATAATTAGGGGAGTGAAATGTGTATTGATAATTATGGCAGTGAAATGCTTGGTATTGATAATTGGGGGAGTAAAATGCCTGGTATTGATAATTGGGGGATGGAAATGCCTGGTATTGATAATTAGGGCAGGAAAATGCCTGATATTGTTAATTAGGGGATGGAAATAGCTGGTATTGATAATTAGGGCAGGAAAACACCTGGTATTGGTAATTATGGGAATGAAATGCGTATTGATAATTAGGGGAGTGAAATGMCTGATATTGGTATTTGGGGGARTGAAATTGTTTTGATAATYAGGGCAGTRAAATGCCTGTTATTGATAATCTGRGGCGATYCACTCCTCCAATTATCAATAATTCAATAATTCAATATCAAAATGCATATTGATAAGGAGGGCAATGAAAMAATTCCTAAAAATTAAACGGAAGGGGGGGCCGGTTTCCCCCAAAGTTTGGGGCCGGGTTTGGGGTACCCTATAGTCCCTTACTAAATTCCTAAATATTAAACAGAAGGAGGGACATCATTTCTCACATCCCAAAGTTGGGGCCAGGTTTGGGGTCCCCTATTGTGCCTTACTAAACTCCTGAATATTAAACAGAAGGAGGGACATCATTTCTCACACCCCAAAGTTTGTGGCCATTTTTGGAGTCCCCTACTGTCCCTTACTAAACTCCTAAAAAATAAACAGAAGGGGGGACATCATTTCTTGCACGTCCAAAGTTTGGGGCTGGGTTTGGGGTCCCCTATTGTCCCTTACTAAATTCCTAAGTACTAAATGGAATGGGGTACATCATTTCTCACACCCCAGAGTTTGGGGCCAGGTTTGGGGTCCTCTATTGTCCCTTACTAAATTCCTAAAAATTAAAC